ATATTTTTCCGTCCTTTTAAAATTTTATAAGTTCTCACTTACTTAAAATTTTATAATTTCGTCACTCCTTACATAAAATCATGCATTTGTCCTTGTGTGCATTTTTAATAACTAAGAAGAATTATAAGCATATATTATTTTGTAATCACTCAAACTATTAAAAAATATATATATACATCTAATATTAAATTTTAAGTAAAAAGTATTAAAAATATAATCATAATCTTTAAAAATTTTAGACTTGCATATAATGTAAATATATATATTTTTATTTTATTGACGAATTAAATTTATATTTTCAAAATTTTAAATTTTTTTGGTGCATAAAAATTTAAATCAGGATTTATTATATGACTTTTTAATATAACTTTCTTAAGAATTTATATACTTAACAAAAAAATCATAAATTTATTTGTGATTTCAAACAGTATTTTCTTTCCAAATCTATCACTGTTTGAGACGGTCGTGATTCTTCCTATATATAGTATGGTTTTTTTTAATTGATATAATATTAATACTTTGAAAATTTTAATTAAAATATTGGATAAAGCACATAATCAACGATCAGCTATTAAAAGTTATAAAATAATCACATGATTATTTATATGTTCCAAATTCATTATTTTTCGTTAAAAAATTAACAGTAATTTGAGCTGAACATTAATGTGCTAACTGAGATATGATAAAATATTATCCCAGAATCTCAAATGATTATTATATCCCATTCAATACGTTAATGTCCAACCCAAATGGTCGTTGATTTTTTTAACATAAAAGAATGAGTTTAAAATATATGAATAGTCTGACGATCATTTTATAATTTTTAATAGTTTAATGACTCAATAAAATAACGTTTTATAATTAAAGGATCATTTTGTAACTTTTAATAGTTAAGGGACTCGACAAAGTAACACTTTATAGTTGAGGGAGTAGTTGTGTACTTTAACTTAAAATTAGAAAACATATTTTAATATTTAATCTCATCTTCGGGGGAGAGAAAAATCTTGTGGCCATTTAGATATTTAGGGTACGTACCCAGTAGTTCAGTACCATAATGAAAGGATATTTTTGTCACCGTCCAAACATCTTTTACAGGGAAAAAGGTAAAACAATTATGTTTTCCTTTTACGAGAGTTCAATTTTAATTTGAACTTCACTTAATTAATTTAATAAAAGGTTTTGAAATATAACATTTCACAAATATAAAATTTGATCTTTACTTAATTTTTTATTTACGAATTACATCCTTGTATAAAAAATATCAATTTTTATGATTTTTCAAAGTTTTATATTCAAATTTTATTAATGTAAATTGTGCCTAAATTTGAGCAAATAATTTGTGATATGGATTAACTGACGAAATTTTTTTCTTCCAAAGCATTATTATAAAAATGTTGCCCTTGTAATGCAAAGAGAATTAGTCGAAATCATTCCTTTCTGAATCCTATGAAATAATATTTTGTTTTTTATAATAGTAACGAGTTATTACAAAATAATAGACATTCGGAATTTGGTCATTAGATCGTTATAAATTTGGTCATTAGATTCATCTAACATATCGACCTACAAATAATCATAATGACCTTATGTTAACACACACTAAAAATCGTTACTAACACCACTTAATATGATCGAGAGGAGAGCTGACACCTTTTACAACGATTCTTTTTCTTCCTCTTCTCTCTCTCCATGAGTAATCATCTTCATCCAAACATCAACCAACGATTATTCTCTCATCGATTATAACTCTCTTCCAAATTAAAAAAGATGAACCGCTCATAATTAGCGAAATTATTTTGTTTTCATCAACACTTTCAATAAGAATCTGTAGAGCTTTATTTATTGAGAATCTTATATAAATTCACATAATTAAAGTATTTTAGAAGGCTTGATATAAAATTATTTTTTTAGGTACGAGTTAAGTGTAAATTATGTACTTTTAAAATAATTTATTCTCGTATGAGTGTTCGATGAACTCTTGCATAAAACTTATCGTGAGTTTTTCTTATCAATAATATCGGATACTCTTTTCACCTTTTACAAAGTATAGGGCGTTTTTAACTATATCCATTACCTTTAAAAAAAAGAAATTGAAATTTTTAGGAGGCGACTGCCCTGTTAATCCCCCTCGATCCATTATTGCATCAAGTGAATCAATGTGTAACTCCATAAAATTTGAACACGATCACATATGGATCGATAGGGGTGTTGAGAATGATTATATTTTTATAAATTTTAAATATTTTAGTAATAATCTAATTTCACATCTATGAAAAAATTATAATTTCATACTTCTTAAATTTTTAATATAATTTTTTATTTCTTAAACTATTAAAATATTTACTATAACATAAAAAATTGTGCCTGACGTCAACGAAATTAATATAGGCAAGAAGGCTGGTAATTTGAATGGTACAACTGGATGCTCCTATTTATATAAGAGCTTACATAATTAGGCACAGATTTATAATGCAACACCTTCACGTAATGAATTGTATTTAATTTCACCCACTACAGCAATAAAATTAAACTTTATTTAATATATGAATAATATTTAAAAATAATAAATGCGGCAACAAAGAAAATCCATAATTAAAGTCAAATTAATATATTTTAAGTTAAATTGCAGGGGACAAACACTAAAAATAAAATATTTAATTAGATAATATGTTTTGGCATTTAGGATAAGGTCGAAATATAATGTCACGTCTTTTTCACTCTTTTGTTTGCTTTTATGTCTAGAGCCATTAAGGTTTAGAGAAAAATATATAGAAATAAATTAATATAATGTAACGGGAAATACGTGAAGTGATTCAGTAATAAAAAAGAATATTAATTTTAATAAAAAAAATTATTTAAATAATTGTGATTGATTTTATTAATAAATTAAATTAATATTCTTTATTTTATAATTATTCTATGACAGTGTTAATAAAACTTATGAATGATTATCATGATTAACTCAAGTGTCATTTTATTTAATTTATTTTTCTGTGCATGTTCGTAGATCCAAAGTCCAAACTATGTAAATTATTGAAATATCTGCTTAACCATTCCAACTCAATATAAATGAAAAACACTAAAACGGCATGTGCAATTCATGTGCCGTGCGCAAGTTGCCTCATGATTAGGGGGAAATACCTAATTTTATGTAGAGATGTAAGTAAGTCAAGTCCAACTTGAATAGTATTGAGCTCGATTCAATTCGAAAAGTGTAAAATTGAGTTCGATTCAACTAAAAAAATCATGATTTTAAAATTATCAAGTTCAATTCGAACTCGAAATAAAGAATTGGAGCTCGACTCGACTCGAAAGATTGAAAGCTTAAAATTTTCAAATTTCACTCGAAATCAATAATTGAAGCTCGACTCAAATTCGAATATGACCTTAAATACATGAAATCCTTATATAGTATTTTTTTAAAATAACATACAAATGGTATTACTATTATTAGTTTAATTCTAAAAATTTAAAATTTTAATATATTATTATATTTTTGAGTAGTTCGCTAGCTTTTCGAGTTGAGTATTAGCTAGCTCGCTTCGGCTCGTTAAGAATTCAAGTCGAGTCCATTCAATTTAAGTATTGACTGAATCGATTTTCAGTAGCTCACGATTTGTCTTTCTATGCTAGATATTAACTTATAACATTTAAAATGGAACATACTTATAAAATTTTAAGAAACTAAAATAATTTTTTAATAAAAAAATCTAAAATATATAAAAAAAAAATTAAAATTTTCAAAGAGACGATCATGCACTGTCAATATATCCCGACTGTAATGTTAATAGACCAAATCATATTAGACCAGACCAGACCGACCAGACACCAAACGAGTGAAACACACAAACCTTCACCTTGGTCTTCTTACGGCTTATCCTCACGGTTAGGAAACATGATATCGACATAGTATAATTTAATAGGTTTAATTTTTATTTTAATCCCTCTATTATGTTAGAGTTATCTCTTTCAGACAATTCGAATAAGCCTGGACTGAATTCACATTTCCACCCAGCAACTATTTTTTATAATTCGATATTTATATTTCATTATGTTATTAATAAGTCTAAATCGATAACAACATTAAATATTGCTTAACTCTAAAAGTGCAAAAATTGTCTTCTAATCCCTTCAAAAACAATAATATTTTAAATTAGTGCCATGGTTGTCGTAACCGTCTTTCGGTTGGGCCCAAACTTGGGCTTCGACTTGGATTAAATGAATTGGAGTCGCCACCGACCACTTTAAAACGAATTTAGGTGGGCCGGACACCATCTTACCTGATCTGCGTTTCACCAGAAATATGTCGGGCTCGGGAGTCGGTTACGGTCAAGGAAGGATTAGCACCCTTGAACCGCCCTTTCGGTACCAATTAATTTGTCGATTGTATTTAATTGCGAAAAGTTAAAATTTAAATTAAATATAAAAATAAAAAAAATGAATATAGTGGAGTGACAGTACTCTTAAAGTTAACTGGCAAACAAGACACAAATCCATAACCTGAAACATGCATGTGGCAACCTTTGACCAGCAATATCCTTGTTCTTCAATGGCAACCTCCAGTCTCGAGTCTTCTTCTTCAGTCCACGTGCCTACATTCAAAGCTGGATCTAGAGAATTCACCTTTGATTAGTTAAAATCATCCCTTATGCACGAGCAGGAACAACAACTCCGAGGAGCCTGACCAGGCTGGCCAGGCTTTGGCATTTCATCCCTGCGTCTGATAAAGTGCTGAGGTGGACCACGTGCTTGAAGATTCCGGTCATTGGAAAGCCTGAGGTGGACCACGTGCTTGAAGATTCCGGTCATTGGAAAGCGTCAAAACTCTCGATCGAAAGGGCCAGTGGGGTCGAGTTACTTGCGGAGACAAAGATAAGCAAGGTAAATAACGCGATCTTTCGCAGCAGTGCGATGAAGATTGGTGTGTTTGCAGAAATACTTGGGATGCTCGAGAGTGCAGCAACCGACCATTTGGGCGAGCAGCAAGAATAGCCAGTTGATCATCTGGGCCACTGCATTGTAACCTCCAGGAACATATTGTTGGAAATGGCAGCTCTCACCAAATTAGCAACCAGCAGCGCGGGTCTAGAATTCTTAATTCCGCCATTAACGTTGAACCCAGCTTCACGACTTCCTCTTTTACGAGTATCCATTATAGAATTTGAACGAAAACGATGAGTAAACCCAAGTGCCACTACAGATCTAGGTGCCTCTCGATTCTCAATGTAAAGATGATTTAGAATCACATTTTCTGGCAAAGGCGTACTCCCAGAAGCATTCAGACTTAAGGGGTAGCTAAGCAACGAACGATGCAGGTGTGGAGGGACAACTGGTGGGTCACGTGCGTCATCTTCACTCCCAGGGTATGCATTATTGTAACTTGAATCAGGTGATCTTGGAACTTCAAACCCAACGACTTTTTCTTCATCTTGATCATCACCATATTGGTTGTTCATGCTGAAGAGTGATACGAGAGGCTAGCAGAGCTCAATCACCAAAACTCCCAGCTTTTCAATCCCATGTCTCCCGAGAAAAAGAGAAAAATTTTCCAGTAGAAAATAAGTAATTGTTGGAGAAGACCCAAAAATAAGAGACTAGCTACTGGCAGGAGAATCGACCATAAGAATCTGCCCTGAATATTGTTTTAATAAAAGCATTAAGCATAGTATAAGAAAAGAAAGGATTTGTAAAATCTGGAAAGTCTCTCCTTGTCTAAAGCGGCGGTGACCATGGCTGCTATGGGCTGCTCCGTTTTCACGTTTTCTAGACAGATTCCTCACCGACCCCTTTGGAGAGGCAAAGTGTGAATTGAAGGAAGGAGAAACTGGAAGGGAGGTTGGTTCGTTGTTTGCTTCTGAGCTCCTTCACCTTCGCTGCTGCTGCCTACGATCGACTGTATGTCTTGCATTGCTAACGACTCTCGCTCCTTGTTTGCTTCTTCGTCTGCATAAATACCAGAAAACGATATCGATCTCTTCCCCAGCAATGATGCAATGCCATGAAAGTCTTGGTGTGTGCATGATGAAAGCATTTGATTGGTGGAACTTTGGGGGTGATGATGATCTTCTTCATGAGGAGTTTGGAGCATGAAATTTGCTGGGGGGAAAGTCATTCGATTGCTAGCTAGACAGGATCCAACAGGCAACTGAGTTTAGCACTAATCTTCGTTCCTCCAAAATGGAAAAAGAAACATAGATATGCATCCCTTAATAAAGCCAAAAATGGTGGCCCCCATTAAAAAGAAAAAAGAAAATGTAACTAAAAGGAGAAAATTATGGGATTTGTTTTGAGTTAGTGGGGGTAGTGGTTGCACAATGGAAGGGGAAAGTTGCTGGGTAGTGTTTGAGTGGGTTATTGTTTTCTAACTATGTGGGGTGCAAAAAGTTAATAAAATATTGAATGAATGGTTAAAAAAAGTGTGTTTACAGCTGCCCCTCTTTGTCCATAGTCGTGTAACGGGTGTAGGACAAAGATTAAAAGACACGCTTTTTTGTTTAACATGAATGTATCCAAATTTAACACCATCCATATAGGGGTGAAATCCCATCGAATATCCTCTGTTTTAGAGTTGAAATCCGATATTTGGTCTAAAACACAAAATGAATCCCTCGCCGTGAGTTGAACTAGAAAATTCTGAGCACGAAATCCTTCGTTGTGAAGTTGAAAACGAGCTCAAAGCTTTTGACAAGTGGCATCTGAATCGTCTTCTGGCTCAAGATACTTCGTCGTGAAGGTGGAACTTGAACTGAAGACTTTGGTGTTGTGATGTTACAGATGACCCCTTCGTCGTGAGGTTAAGTCAATCCGTTGGGGTATGATACCCTTCGTTGTGAAGTTGTACATGTATATGGCCCCTTCGTCGTGAAGTTGAGCCTGAGAATTGGATATCCTTCGTTGTGAGGTCGAAATCCAAGTAAGTTGTATTGTTTTGAGACCAATATCCTTCACCGTGAAGTTGAAATCGGTTCTGGAACTGGAAAGTTTATTGACAGACACTCCTTCTTTAAGTTGGATATCCTTCGTCGTGAAGTTGAAATCCAATCTAGAGATGGATGCTGCTTGTGTGCACGATTCCCTTCGTCGTGAAGTTGAACTTGCGTTGTCTAGAGTCCAATATCCTTCGTTGTGAAGTTGAAATTGGCTCTGAAATTGAGAAGTTGGTTATTGACAACCAGCGGTCCCTTCGTCGTGAAGTTGAACTTGCGTTGTCTGGAGTACAATATCCTTCGTTGTGAAGTTGAAATTGGCTCTGAAATTGAGAAGTTGGTTATTGACAACCAGCGGTCCCTTCGTCGTGAAGTTGAACTTACGTTGTCTAGAGTCCAATATCCTTCGTTGTGAAGTTGAAATTGGCTTTGAAATTGAGAAGTTGGTTATTGACAACCAGCGGTCCCTTCGTCGTGAAGTTGAACTTACGTTGTCTGGAGTCCAATATCCTTCGTTGTGAAGTTGAAATTCGCTTTGAAATTGAGAAGTTGGTTATTGACAACCAGCGGTCCCTTCGTCGTGAAGTTGAACTTACGTTGTCTGGAGTCCAATATCCTTCGTTGTGAAGTTGAAATTGGGAAATGTTTATTGACAACCAGCGGTCCCTTCGTCGTGAAGTTGAACTTGCGTTGTCTGGAGTCCAATATCCTTCGTTGTGAAGTTGAAATTGGCTCTGAAATTGAGAAGTTGTTTGTTGACAACCAGCGGTCCCTTCGTCGTGAAGTTGAACATACGTTGTCTGGAGTCCAATATCCTTCGCTGTGAAGTTGAAATTGGCTCTGAAATTGGAAAGTTATTTATTGACAGACAACTTTTCTTGACTTAAGTTGTGCTGTAAATTTCCTTTAAATGAATTATGGCCCCTTTCGCCAAATTTTGTGAGCCGGATGTCTTCCGTCGTGGAATTGAAATCTGGCTTGAAAGTGTTAACTGGAAACATGCTGCTCATGGTTGAGTTTGAGTCGAACTAGACTTGTTTTGAACTGGTTCTCGAACCTATCTGAAATTGGTTCTAAGATGTCAAGTCGGTTGAGGTGTAGCTTCTTACTGCCGAGTTAATCAACCACCATCCTTCTTTGAAGGCGCTTGAGAATCGAGTATCCTTCATCCTGAAGTCAAAACTTGACTCTAAAAGCTGCAAAAACGTGTATGCTAAAATGATGAATGTGATGCACCTAAGTATGTTTAAGATGCATGCAATATGAATGAATTATGTGTTATCTTCTGGATAGAGTCTCGTGCTTTGTCTGTCAATCAGGTCCTTGGAATGGATCGTGCCCCATTTGCTTCCTGAGCTTTGGCTTTACAGACCTTTCATATCTGAGACTGTTCTGCTTGAAAATGTTTTTCTTATTTTTCTTGTTTTAGGAGAGAGATATGATAAAAATGTTGTAAAATATTGTTCGCAATTGAATCAAATTGTAAATGTGAGTTCAAAAAATATCAAAGGAATCAAGAGCTCTTTTAATACTTTCAGAGTTACAAATCTTTGACAAATGTTCAAATGGATGAGTTGGCTTTAGGTTAGCCTCATTTCTAAGGTTTTGGTAACCCAAAATGTCATTTTTTTTTAATATCGAAATATGCTTTGGCACTTTAATTGGGTGCGGACAAAATGAAGCAACTAGCATGATCACTTACTAGACCTTTTATTTCGGTCCTCTGAAATCTTCCATTTGTTCAAGCTTTGTAGGCTCCTCTAACGAAGGCAGTGCAAAAAATATCGGTCTAAAAATGAAATTCTTGAGTGCTCGTGTGAAATTGACTATAACAGGTGTTCCTTAACTCCCTTAGTCCATTTTACCGAAACTTCATGCTTAGATAAATTCGATTTAATTTGCCGTTATCTGGCTAGCTGAATCCATAAAGCCGGGGCGTTTAACCAATTGCTTTAGAGGGACAACTTATCATTATAATCATTTTTATCAAGTTAACTGAAGGGTTCATCTCATCACAAAGTCTTCGGCCTGACAAAAGCAGTGGAGCAAACACCGAATTGCCAAGTGTCCGAGCAATGTCATGGTTTGAATGACATCTACTCATAAGGCCAGGGCTTTCAAGTTTCCTCTATAACCAATTGCCTTAGCGGAATAGCTCAGTTTTTACGAATTTAATTTCTTAAGATTGTCAAGAAGAACCTGTCATAGTCTAGGTGTTTTTGAAAGTCCAGGAATCTCATCTTTAGAGTTCAATTTTCAAGCAACTGGCCTAAACTAGATTCACCTAGTCGACTATTCCATCTGTGAAGATCGTGATCATCATTGAACGTCTTAAATAAAAAGCATAGTAATGGTCATATGCAAATGATGCCCCATGTTGTTCGCACCTTATGAAAGGAAAAGGTTACATTGGTTAATTGCAAGAGCATGGTACGGTGTTTGAGTGTATATTCTGGGTAAGGTCAAGGTCCTTGTTTTAAAACATGTTACTTTGTCAACGATCCGTAACGTTGAACCATTCACAGAGTTTCTTAATTCAAATGATATTCAAAGAATTGCAAGTTTGCAAATGTGATCCATTGCTTAACATCTTTAAAGTAACATAAATTTATTTAAAAGTCCTTATAAAAACTTGAGAAAAAAAATGGAAAAACAAATTCAAACAAAATGTCTCAAATGATGAAATGGTCTTCCTCACTTGGATGCCCCCAAGTTGTTGAAGTCGATCCGATTCTTGTTACGTATTTTCTGTATGATTCTCTTGATTGTGGAGTAATTCTCGATAGTGCGCCCCGAGACTCCGCTGCAATGAGCGTTCTCATCATACTACCTAGGGTACGGGGCTTCATGGATTTCTCTGGATATGGTGACACCACATGTGCGTCGAACAAATGTTGGTAAAGCTCCTTATATGTCATAGGGTCAGAATATTCTCATTTTTGATGAGACATGTGAATGCAATGAAAAAAAGGGAATCATAATGAGAATGTAAAGAAAAGTAACAAAATGCACAATATGTCTGAATGTATGATGCATGAAATGTTCGAGGCATTGATCCGAAAAATGTGCCTATTATTCTGAATAATCCTTATTGGGGACAAAAATGTTACGTCTGAAGAGACAAAAAACTTTTTTGATGGTATAGATCATGCACAGTCTCTGGAAAGTTGATTCGTCTTCCGCTTTTTCACCGGTTGAATATCCTGTCGAACCATTCCGACTTCTTTGGCTAAACTTGTGCGGGTGATTAGTTGCCTGCCCCAAAAAATGTCTCGAATGACTACATCTCCGGCCTTCACTCTATGCCGAGCTCGTTCTAAACGAAAGTGCCATTGGAGCCCTCCATCCGGAGTTTGTCGACTTATTTTTGGAATTCATCAATAATGGTCTCCAGCTTAGCTAGGGTTTCACCATCTTGTTCTCGTAATTTTCGAAAGGACTCTCCGGGTCAATAACTATTTCCTCGTCTTGCCCCTGAAACCTTTGCCTCTAAGTATTCTTTGATACCGGTTGGACTTCTGAGCTTTTTATCTCTTTGTATTATAACCCCTTTGTCCATTAATGCAGATTATTCATGTTTTAACAAACACATTTTTGGTGGATCAACACCTCGTTTTAATGATGTGAATGATAAAAAAAAAATGCAAAAGAACAAAAATAAAAGGAGAAAAAAAAAGTTAGTGAGATAAGGATAATAATAAAAAAAGATGAAAATGAAAAGTCCTACCCCACATGATATCTACCCGAACATGGTTAGTATTCCTACCCAGACATGATCTCTATCCCGCATGCTAATTTCAAACAAATCCTAACCGCATATTTGTCTAGTTCGCATGCTTCGAACAGAGAGTAAAGTAGGAAATAAAGTAGCCTAGGGTTTGGAATGAGGTTTTGGGGTGGGCTCTAATTCTCCATAATCTCCCGGTTTAGGTTCTAAAAAGGTACTAGAGTTCTCCTTGCTGGTGTCCCCTTGGGCTTGCCAGACCCT